GAATTTAGAGCTGGATGGGAGTAAAAACCCCCAAATCCCTGCATTAAAACAAAGTAGTGCTTCTCCATGCACTTTGTTGCGGGTGGTACCATAGTCAGTGTGCTCCAGAGGACCTTAGCAGGCTCAAGGAGCACATCATTAATAGGAAGGGCGACTCTCCCAGGGGCAGATGGCTGCAGGATACCTGCTAACTTGTGGATTTTCTTCTGCAAGAACTCCACTTGAATACCATGGGAAGCAACCACGTGCTGCAAAAGGCCCTAGTAAGCCTTGAAATTCTCCAGTACCAAAGGGGAGGAAGAATCAAGTATCGCAGAATCGTCCAGGGATGAAGATGAAGCAGTTAATTGTGCCAGAGCCACATCTTGCTCCAGGACAGGACAACTACAGAGGCTCTGCAAGGGGAAGGCTCACTGGTGCCTGGACCTGTGGCTCATTGACAGTCACCACCACAGACCTGGTCAGTGATCATGCCGTCAAGCGAGACAAGGAGTGGAACATCCACAACTGAGGAGCGTCCCACTGATTCCATGGAGGCCACTGGTATGGATAGGGCATTGGTGGCCAGTAGGTGCCAGGCCAGGGGCCCCCAATCCAACCACTGGATGAGCACCAATCCTGGTACCCATAGCACTCCATGAACAGCCACCGATGCAGGTCAGGCGATGGAAAGTGAGAGGAGAAAGATCCCAACTCAGACACTGAAAAGTCCTTGGCTTCAGGGGATAAAGGTGCAGCCATCCCTGAGGGTGTGAGCAACCAATCCAGCTTGTCCACAGCCCAGAACGATGAGGGAGCTGGTGCCAACGGTGGAAACAGTACCAATGGCACTAAGTACATCTCCGTTGTTTCCAGTGCCAGAAGTAGTGTTGATCCCGAAGTTGGCAGCAGTACCAGGGTAACAGACGGTGCTGAAGTTGAGGGCAGTGAGTGCTGCCACAGTAACTTCGGCAGCACCAGTCGCAGTTGACAGGACCTGCGCCATCCCACGCACTGGCATTCATCCTGTGCCAATCTGCATTCCTTCTGGAGGCAGGAGACCAGTCCCCACATGACCTGGAGCAGCCTCGATCAGTTTTATGAGATCTTGTCCTCAGTGCACTCAATGGGGACAACTCCTCCGTCTCTTCGGAGAGGTATCAGCTCTAGCGCACAAAGTGGCAGCACTCTCAGAACCTGAGGGCGACCTCCGATCTGATGAGGGCCTTGGTGTCAAAACAGGCTGCATGGCCTGTTTGAGCAAGTGCTGCTTCAGACAAAGATCCCTCACCACCAGGCTCCATTTGGTGAATGATCTGCAAATCAAACACTGCTCTTTGACGTGGGCTTCACCTAGGCACAGCAAGCACCGCATGTGGGAATCGTTGGGGATTGCTCCCCCACATGATGGACCATGTTTAAACCCTGATGAGGACGTCACCTGGGAAATACTTAAATTACACCTAACACTAAATCTAGATACCACTATACTAAGGGTACTAATGAACAATATGCAACTAGAAAAGTCACTAAAATAGAGGGATTTTGAAGTGAAAAACTACAAAGAACTCTGATTCCAGCCACAGGTGGTAAAAAGAAACTGGGGAGAGGGGAAGTGGCACCTCTTATAGCCAGAGGGAGAGCTATAGCCATGAGGCACAATCGTCATCCTTTTACAGATACTACTAGGCAAAATTATCCGGCTCCACCACACTGGGTGTGCATACACCTAAGCGGAATACACGGCTGCATCTACTCAAAGAAGAACAAATATTTGCAAGTACCTTTATTGTATTAGACAAAGAAAGGATTTATCCCCATTTGTCTTCACAGGATTAACAGAGTTCGTGCGCAAGAACTGTTTAAAACAAGTCTAGTTTATAACTTTTACACTGTCCAAACAGTAAATTGTCTCCTTGCCACTGGATTTTATTCAAGTAGCTAAGATTATTTCATTTAATGAAATAGCAATTCTTAACTATTAAATTCATAGATTCATAGATT